AAAGCATTATGATGCCGTCAGTGCACATTTGAACAACAACAACAACAACTTGCATTTATATAGCGCCCTCCACGCTGGGCGGTGTCTCGGAGCGGTTAACAATGGTGGAGCTCGAGGCCGAGCCAGGAGGAGGGGGAAGGTGACCGTAGCCACAGTCGAAGAGGAAGGTCTTCAGGCGCGACCTGAAAATGGGGAAAGAGGTGGGCGAGGTGAAGGGGTTGAGGGAGGGAGTTCCAAAGCTTCTGGACGTAGTGGCTGAAGGCACGGCCACTGATGGTGGAGCAGAAGATTTGGGGGACTCTAAGGAGGTCGGACCCAGTAGAGCAGAGGCAGCGGGTACTGCTGTGGGGAAAGGTCGGAGAGATAGGCGTTTATCTGAATCTGAATTTACACTGAATAACTCTATTTTTTGATGAGGCAGAACTTTTTCGATGTATGAATTTTATTTGAGCAATTGCAACATTTGTATCCCCCCCTTCCACCCACCCACCCACCCACCCACACACACACACACATATTTTACAAAGTGATGAAAATGTTTCAAATGCCCAGATTTTATTATTATTTTTATTTATTATTTATTATTATTGTCTATTAAAAATTATTAAAAAGCCTGATAATAATCCCTAAATAAATAATAATAAATTGGTCATTTCAATCCACGACTGTTTGTGGGACGCTGCTGTGCGCAATTGGCTGACGCGTTTCGCCCACAAATATACAGTCAATTCACTTTACAGTCTATTCTGTGAAGCGCTTTGAGACATCTGGAAGACGTGAAAAGCGCTATACCAAATGCAAGGATTATTATATAATTATTATTAAAGGGGGGTGCCAATTAATGGAGGTATTTAAACACTAGAGTGAGGATCTTGACGTCGATCCGCTCTGTGACAGGGAGCCAGGGGAGTGGAACAAATGCTAAAAAGAATAGTCAAAGTGTATCTTGATGCGATAAGTCATGTCTGATAAAATGACTAAACTAGTGGTAACAAGTGGAATATACTGTAATTTATTTGGATTTTGTTGAAGTTGCACATGTGTTTTTAATAAGGTTAAAGCTCATAGAAGTGATGGCATGTTAACTAGTTGAATTAAAATTAACTGAACATGTAGGAAGCAGAACATGATTTTAGGCTTCACCATTGTCAAGGAAGTCACACTCTTGTGACTTAGAGATATTTATCTAAAACAAGTTTCAGTCATGGCCAGCTCCTACTCCGCTGACACTAAATCTTGTATTTTTGTCAGATGGAGGAATTACAGGAGAGTACTGAATGTGAAACGGTGTATTTGTTGTTTGGAAATATCAGTATTTTTGCTTGTAAGCTTGTACCAAACAAAACCTTCTCGAGAGTTTGACTTTTTCTCATTTGTGATTCCACAGTTGACGAAACAAAGATGTTCGTATGGAACCTGCATTGTTCTAAAAATGATTTATGTTACAATGTTCCTTGGGGGTTTTAGCCTGTATCTGAACCTGAAGGATTGTGTTGCCTATCATCCATTCTGGAACGCAGCTTATTCAATAGTGGATACAATGGGTTGAGGTGGAAGGTCACTCGGCATACCATTAACCTCAGTGTGGCAGGTATGGAGGTAGTGTTGAATTACCGGTGATATGAGAAAATCCTGATCTGATACTAAACTCAGTGACCAGCTGCTGGGCCCGAATGTAGAATAGGTTTCCTGTCTCGGGGATTTCTTTTTTCTCACATGTGACTGCAAGTTACACGTGTGCCATGGTGGAGAAAGGGTTGACATGCTCGGAGACGGTTCTGTGAGCTGCCGATCTTCATTCAGACTTCAGACTCCTAGTGCTGATGATACAATAATGTGGGTGAACATATAGCAACATCTTGACTTGAGGTGCCACTGACATCCTTCTCAATTCTCCCTGAAATTATTTGGGAATTGTAGTAATGGACTAGCGTAGGCCTGCAGTTGTCAGCTGCTCATTCTAGTAAGTTATTTTGGTTGTTGGAGATTTTAGGGTCTGGACGCAAGCAAGTGTTTATTTTTGGTCCAGGATCTAAGGTGCAAGAGAAGAATGAGTTTAATGTGATCCTTCTTATTGTTGTGGAATCGTGCACCTCACCTTTGGCATTTTAAGTCTTTTGTCCTGAGGCTGTGTGTGGAATTTCAGAGGAAGTTGGCTTGGCAGCATTTGCTTTTCACTGCTGCACAATGAAATCAAAAGTCCCTCCCCTGAACCTTAATGGTTCCTGCTCATTGAAGGTTATGAAAAGTGGGAGAAATCTGAAACCTGCCAGTAGCTATAGTTTTGTTGCTATTGTCAGATTAAAACTCACAAACATACAGGCAGGAAAATGCAGCCTGGAGCTTTCTTAGCAAAGGGCAATCATGGAGATTTTTCTGGCTACAAAGCGAATGTAGCAATAAATTTGTAGTTCAAATTTGTTGCATTTTTAGTTAATAATATTTTCCATTTAGGTTTACAGCAACACAACAGACTTTTCTGACCACTTTTCGGTGCCTAAGGAACAAATCAGGGAATTAAAATTGCCAAGCACAATCAGTAACTCAGGTCATTCAGGTTCTTGTCAATATTAGTTTCTTCTGAAATATATTTGGGTGACAGAAACCAAATAAATGTATTAGCTGTAGATTTCTCAGCTGTTTGACAATGGTCAATTTGTTTATAGCACTTGCTTGTTGCTACTTGAGTGACTCCACTTGTTCTCTATAATAAATATGGAAAACTGATAATATTCTCCAAATAAACTAAAATGGTAAAAAAAACAAAGTTTTTTTTAAAAAAAGTGAAGGCAAAATACATGCAAAAGTATTAGCAAGGTTATTTTCCAAAGTTTTTCAAAGGTAATTTTCTCATGAAATCAATACTGTATTTGGTTTATTAAGTATTTTTTTTACAACCACAGTTAAGATGGATGACCAAACCTCTACAATTTAAAGAATGTAATTACTTGCAGTTAGTATTATTCAATAAAAGTGCTCAGGGATGTCAGAGCACTGACACCTTTCTGGAATCTCTCAATCATCCAAGGACAGGTTGTCCAACTTACTTTCTGAAGAATGCTCTCTGCCCCTTTCATGCATATATAAAATCTAATGAAAATCACTTATGGTGTAAATGTGTAATGATTATTGATTGTGGTAACAAGATAAATGCCACATATGTTTATTATTCAATTAATCATTTACCGTTATTGCAGTGTTTCTCACCCTATTCTCATTTTCCTTCCTTTGTTTCCATTCTCTCCATTGAAACACGTCTCCTATCAAATACTGTAATTGAGCTTTTGAAGTCCATCTGCAATAATTTACCAAATCATGTGGGGTTTCTTGAGTTAATTCTTTGACAAATGCTGACTTTTGCATTTACATCTCCAAGACATTATAGTAAGTACACTATTATGCAGTGTCACAGTGTCGCCTTGCAAGCGAGATACCTGGGTTCAATTCCAGGCAGGGTGAAACCTTAGGCAAGTTTCCTTACTCCACACGCCTAATAATAATCCCTCAAACAAAACAAAAAAATCCCTCAAACAAAACAAAATAAAACAAAACAAATAAATTGGTTATTTTCAATCCACGACTGTTTGTGGGACACTGCTGTGCACAATTGGCTGCCGCGTTTCGCCCACAAATATACAGTCAATTCACTTTACAGCATATTCTGTGAAGCGCTTTGAGACGTCTAGAAGACGTAAAAAGCGCTATATCAAATGCAAGGATTATTATTATGATGATGTAAGGTTCTCCTTCCCCATACACTTCAGGTTGGTTGCCATGTTTGGGTAAGTCCTATACAGAGGTAAGACTCTTTCCTTGAGCGAGGGAAAGAAAATGGAAGATTGATTCCCCCCGTACTTTCACCTAAAGTAATTATAATTGTAAGCAAAAGAAACCTCAAGTTGTGCAGAATTTAAGAAGCAATCAACTCACTTACATTTTTAGTTGTGTTAACTAGACTGCTAGTAGGTATAGTGAATGCAGATTCAGTTTTAGAATCTCTTGAAATAAATGTTACTTAGTGGTCTAAATTCCTTGCCTTTTTCAATAAATCAAGCTTAAGTTAATAAGACTGGCAATAAACAACAAAGTGGCAGAATAAAAAAAAAGTGTTTTTCTGCTTTCACTCTTAGGTCTTTACCAGTTATTTATTAACTGTTAGTAGAAAAACTTAACTATACGGATTGAATTGCATTCAAAATTCTCTAAAAAAGAATCTTTCAAAGTAATGGAAAATGGACATTCGAGTGCTATGCAACCTGCATCATTTTCTCAAGCTGTAATTGCTAAAGCATTTGTGTGAATAACAGTGCAAATAGCAAATTATTTTAATCACCTGGTGCCATTTAATTCACACATATACAACTAGATGTGTTGTCTGACTTCTATTACTTGATTTGATTAATAACCAAATTAAACACTTATCAGCTACAATGCATAAGGCATCTACAACATATAATTGTGGAGAGATTCCACCTGGGTGTACATTTGCTCCCAACATGAAAGGCGCTATACAAATGTAATCTGTTGTTGTTGTTGTTGTTGCTCCATTTACACAGCATTTAGTGTGTCCAGAATTCGAAAATTCTTGAGCACGGCAATAACTTTGAAGATACTTGTGTAAATTCTTTTAAGAACTGTTGAAAACCAGCTTAAAAATTAAGACTGATTGTAGCTAAATGAGGGTAATGTCTTCTTTGTGTCAAACACTTTAAGATGTCCTTACAGCGTGAAAGATATAAAGCGCTATATAAATGTAAATTGCATTGTATCTTTACGTTTAGCTGTATGCTTTATTATTCCCAAGGTCCGGTATTTTGTGCTGAATATATTCAATTGGAGGTGTGCTGTAATCTAACTCTTTACAATATTTGAATGAGGATTGTCTTCAATATTGACTTTTGGATATAAATTTAGTTCACAAATCTATCAGAAAGTTATTTTCTTATTATTGTACTTTGCTAATCTTGATGTCCAATGCCTGTTTTTTTCATTCTGTTTAGTTGTTGCAGAGCAAATCAAAAGAGAGATATCGTTATGGAGATAAAATGGAGCACATTTTGAATGATATAAATGAGGACATGTGGCAAAGCGGTGACTGTGATGATGAAGATGAGTGTGGAGGTTCAGGACAAGAAGCATTTGAAGTAAAGAAAGGGTTTCGATGCTATACAGGTGAGAAGTAAATATTGAGCACTATTCTACATTCCAGACATGAGCCCAAAGGCAAGCTTAATGGTACATGTTGGGTAAGACAGTGAAGGCATGTGAAGACCTTTTATCACACAGAGTACCTCGATTTCTGCATGGAGGGATGAGGAAAGTCCTACCAAGTAAGGTGTTAGTAGCAGAGTCAATTATGGGTTTCAAGAGGAAAGTAAGAAGGTATACCAGAGATAAAGGCTGTTGAGGTTCTGTCTGTTGAGGTTTTGATGCATTAAGAAAAAAAGTAGCAGCACTGGGTGTAGCTGTGGGTTCTGTATCTGGTGGAAAAGGAGGAATGCAGACTTGGTAAACAAAGCACAATGAGCTTTTTAGCTGAGGTTTCTCACCTATTGTTTGTAGTGAGTTTGTTCGGACCTGATGATTGTATTTTTTTGTTCCTTTAACTATTTATCTCTAACCTGCTTGAAGCAGTTGTTATTTCAACTAAAACACAGACCAGTTTATGTCTGTAAATATTGTGCCATATTTTAAATGGCCTCCTGTAGCCTGTAAACGGTGTCGTCTGTTTTACCATTGGATAAGTTATTTCATGGCAGATTGGGATGGGCCTTATTTAATAGGAAACCCCTGCTTTCAATGACTCAAGAACGCAAAACCATCTGAGCAGTAACAAAGACTTCTTATTTTATAAGATGGGTCATCCAACAACTGATAAGTTTATTTGTCAGCTGTAAATGAGTCCTTACTTCTTGCACAAAGTGACCATCAAGAATACCACAGGATGGAGGGGTCGTCACAGCCTTGTCTTTGTTATTAATAACTCTGGAGCTAACATTGAGTGCACATTTGATTATTAAAGCCCATAGTTTTTTTAATATACATTTGACTTAAATGAAAAAAGATATGTGGCAGAGTTTCCTGATTGATTTTTGTGTCACTGCTTACATCTGTAGCATTCCATTAATCAATCAATCAATCAATCAATCAATCAATCGATCAATCGATCAATCGATCAATCGATCAATCGATTAATCGATTAATCGATTAATCGATTAATCGATTAATCAATTAATTAATTCGTTCATTCATTCATGCCTCTGGTATGTTTGGGTCAGGCATTTAATTTTATAGAAAAATGTGCTGGATTTGAGATGATGCATTTATGGTTGTGGTTGATCCTAGTGTCTTAGTATCTACACTTTGCCCAAGGTTCTATTCCAGTCCTTTTCTGAAGTCATTCCCTGATAACAATTAACAATCCCTCTCTTAATGTTAGATGATGTGGTAGATGTTTAAAACTCGGATGCTTTCAGCCTAGATGATATCTGAAATAATTGAATGTGTTTCTCATTCCAAATCTACAAGCTACGTGTTGCTGTTGATGGGCAAAGCAACAGTTTAGTATTCCATGATTAACAAACGTGGCAGTTTTATCTTGTCATGATAATCTCAGATGTATCTTTGAACACAAATTGACACAATAGCAAAGACAGTGCAACTGATTGAAACGCTGTGACTTACCCTTGCCTAGAGCAGCAAGACTGGAAATGAGCTGTGATGAGATTGATTAAAAAATAATGAATTCCACTGCATGCCACTAAGTAACCAACAATACAAAAGTATCCAACAACATGTCATTGAATCCCTTTCAGCCTAAACAATCTCCCAGCTATTGATACAGCATGTAGTAATTCTATCACTCAAAAGCATCACTTGATTTCTGCTCTGTTATGACAGTGTGGTCAAATGTTTCTTTAGAACACAAACATTTAAACCGCAATAAATATTTAACCTGACGGTTTGACAAAGGATCGTTGTATGGTTTCAATTGTAATACTTCAAAGTCATCAGTTATGGTCTTTCCTGGTGAATGACAAAGCTAACTTGTAGTATGTGCTATAAATCAACTCTCAACACAACAAGATCAATTGATATGGGCTATGTGTTGTCCTTCTGTTTTGAGAACAAAACCAGATGGAAAGGAATTGTATTTTTATTTTTGAAATGATAAAGGGGATTTTCAAACACAGATAGACCAGGTGGTGTTTGCTAATGGATGGACAAGATAACTTGACACAGATTTATGTCTGCTTTACGTCCTTTTATCATGATCATAAAGTGAAGGCTGTGCCTGAGAATGATAACAGTAACATATGCAGAATGATTGTGTGTATGGAAAGAGGCACCACGTTTCAAAGTATTGGTCTGTTGTAATGTGCAACTATCTGTAATCCTTTGGAGGATCGAGGAAAACTATGAAAAAACAACACCCAGGCTTATTTTTTTCAGGGGAAAGAATCCCTGAAACTTGTAGCCTAAAAACAATTGTTTGCTATTTATTCCATGAATACCCAACTCTTGGTGCAAATTTTAATGAATCTTTAATACCTTTATTCCTTCAAATGGATTTCACATTCACATGCAATCTATTTTGGAAAGCAACTCTTCTTCACTGCTAATTAAGTCCACACCCAACATTTGCTTTTCACTGATGCATTTCATGAGGTCTGCTTAAAAATAGCATGCATGACTTTGATGACATGGTATCACAAAGGAGCTGAATATTTACTGAATAAAACTTCTGATTCTGAAATCAGAAACTATTTTCTTGAATGGAAGGTGAAAAATTGGACACTTGGAAACTTAGTGGATCTTCGGATGTGTTTGTTTAAAAAAAACTTCAGTGTAAACACACTCCTGTTTTGTCCTCATTTATTCTTGTGAAATGAAGGGAAACCAGGTGAGATATTCAGCTCCTTTAAGCAAAGAAGGTGCACATTAACGTTGCTTATTAACACCAGTGGCTATGATTGAGTAGAATACACATAATATGGATAATGTTGTAGCAAAAAAGAATAGACCAATACCCATATTGTGTTCAGTGGTCAATCAATATGACTTTGATAATTAGTCAATAATTTAATGGACTTCTCCTTTCAGAAATTCCATTTTTAATGCTGAATATTTGTTTTAAATGAACTAACAACAAAATCTCCTTAAATATTTATATTTCTGTTATATTACACTGTCTTGACATTTGTGGAAAGGTTTGACAATACAAATAGATTTTGATAGTTTCATTGCCAATTTAAAATTTCTGCCAAAACTAAGTATATTACAATGCAAGTGCCTTACTGCAACAATACTGGTATTGTTACACATGTAAAGTAAAACAATAGCCACATGCCCATTTATCTAATTTGACTCAAAATTGTTTTGAATAGAGAGGTGATAGAAGAAATAGCCAGAGGACACTCATTCATAAATTAAAACCTAATCAAACTAATGTTGAAGTTAATAAGGCATGTCATCTTGGGTGAGGAATGGAGATAGTTGGCTTTTGTTGTGTTTCAATTTTGGTTTAATTCTTGCCATGAATTAAAAGGTGTCGACTATCCCAAGACAAAGAAGCTTTTGAAATTTATATTTGGAAAGGTTGTTAGGTGGTTGCCCTTAAACCCATTGAACACACATGGGGATCTGTGGAAAGTTAGGTACATGAAATTGCGTCAAAATAAACAGATAAATAGGAAATTGAAAGATACTTCTCTAAATGTTATTTTTCACAGCTACAGGAGTTGCTGCTTTGGAGTAGATTTTGATTTGTTTTGAAGCATTCAAGAATAGGGCTCTGAATATGGAAAATGTTAAAGATTTTAGACACATCTCTGTTCATCTTAAGCTCTGGCTTAGTATAAATGAGTGATGAGTGTTTGAAGCTCTGAATTCAATAGAAATATAAGTGGAATAATGGCTTACTTGACTAGGATTCTTGGCATGACAGGAGCAGTGGGCTTGAGGCTCTGTGAATAGTGGGCTCTTTCATCCCTTTTAATGAGTCCAGAACATGCATTCAAGCATTTTTTAAGGATCTTTTTATTCTGAATCTGAAATTCAGCATGCTTTGCATTTCAAACTTTGTTTATCTATGAATTCAATGGCTGCCAAAGTTATTTCTGCTTTAAAAAAACAGAAGCTAGAAAGTGCTAATCTCTTTTCAGTCTGAGTTCTTTGCATTATTCTACTGAGCGGAGTTTGTGATGAGGGCAACACACAATGTTCAAACACTTTATGGGAAGGAATTTGTGAGAGCATTAAGCAAAGTGTGCAGTGGGGGTGGGGTGTTTAAAAGACCAGCAGACTTTAACTTGATTTATAAATGGTGCGTTACCATATTTTGGATTCTGTGTACATAATCCATGTGGATAGGAAAAACATCCCCTTAATCATTAAAACTCATGGTGAGTATTAACTACACATTATCTATTCGGTTATGAACTTGAGTGCTTCAGGACATGTGTCTTAATGGCTCGAGGAGATGCTTTTTCTCTAGCATTGCATGTATGTTTTGGGGGGAATAATGTGCATTGTATTAATGCTCAATAGTAACTTGGACACTCTAGAATAATTAAAACAGGATACATTCAAACTAGAAGATAAGTTTTGTAGAAAGGGTTTCATATTTCTGCTTTGGTAATAAAAATAATAATAGTAAAGCATTGACTATGCTCATTGTAACAAAATGGATTTTGTGAAGAAAAAGTTTAAATGTTATAAAATATTCTGATGTATACGCAGTGAAAATGTATTTTTCTGTTGCTATTTTAACATTATTAGTATAGGAGTTTTTTTAATGATCTATTTTACGGCAACAAAAAAAAGGAGGGAAAAATATATGCTGTTCGCTGGCTCTTGTCAACTGTCTCTGGCCTCATTTCTTGGAGGGATATGATATAAAAATGGTTATTAATTTTGTGAATATTTTTCACCAGCTGCTTTAAAACGTGATAATACCAAATCTCTGTTAAGAGCATGTTACTTCGCTGATAATGAAATGGTCTGTTTGAGATAAACTAGGTTTTAATTAGTAAACAATAACCCAGTTTAAAACAGTAAATTCAAAGCGTATTGTATCAAGTGTTTTTTTAAATCCTTGATATTCTGTAAAGTTCAATCTTTATGAGAGTTACACTTTTTCTTCAAGAAATCCATTTTGTGAGGACCTGGAG